GTTTTTGTCCGCGCTGTTCATAGTATGAACAGCGCGGAGAGACACGTAGCACCGTTCCATTGGCTTTCTGTGCGCCCTTTACATAAGGAGTCAAATAATTTGTACAGTAGTAGCCTTAGCAGCCAGGCTACACCGCGACGCCGCAAAAATTTCCCAAAATTCAATCTCAGTCGTATCTGCATTGGCGCCCCGCTACTCTGTAGACGCATTCGGCCTCTAGACCACTGATAGATACCGGAGCTTAGCAACACACACATTTGTTCCTTTATGTATTACCTTGGCGCCAGCTTTACCACACACACGTCACCTGCGGGGTAGTCTCGACTACTTTCCTTGATCACTCAGTGCCGACTCGTCGTCACAACGCTTCCCGTGCCCCATTTGACTTGTCGCTCTCCCCCCTTCGTCCTGCTGCTTGCGAGCGGAGGGCCATGTTTCGTTCCAAACCCCCGCGTCATTCGTCTGCCCTGTCGACAGGTCCGGACTCCGGCCGTCGCATCCGTGCTCCATGGCGTCGCATCAAGTCCGGCGCCGATTCCGTCCAGTCTTCCGTTGACCCTCCCCCATCGTCTGCTTCTTCAGAATCGGGAATCCCTGTCGTCACTTCCTTTGCAGGCTCTTCCTCCGCATCCCACGTCTCCCGTCCGCACATGAGTCCTTTGAAGAGGCTCTCCACTCTCTTCAAGGAGGGCGATGGAAGATCTGAAGAAAACCTCAGAAGTCTTAAACTGCGCGTTATCCAGGTCCGGAGACAGCCCGATGGCTCCCCCATCCGATTTCAACTTGGCTTTAGATCGAGGACTGGGTGGGAGCCCATCAGAGCCTCCAAATCCAATCAAGACTGCCTCGTTGCCCTCGTTCCATGGGGACCGGGCTCCGCGTTTAACCTTTTCGGCGCTCTCGACGGCCATGGCAGGAATGGCCACCAATGCGCCATCTTTATCGCCGAAAAGATGGTGTCGTACCTCGGCCGCACGTTGCAGGAAAATACCCATCCGGACGACATTGCTGCCACTATGCATAAGGCTGTTATGCATGCGGAGCGCAGACTGGAAGCCCATGCCAGCATTGTTGATTTTCAGCTCTCGGGTTCCACGGGAGTCTTTGTGCTTGTGAAGGGTACCACCTTGTTTTGCGCCAATGTCGGCGATTCGCGAGCGGTTATCGGTCGAGAAGACGAGAATATCAGTCGCTCTGAACATTTGTCGCAGGGCTCGGATGGATCACTGTTAATTGAGGCGGGCGTGGCACTTCCACCGGTACATCCTCCCAAGAACAGTGATAAGAAACGCAAAGCACGTCATATTCCGTCACGACAAGCCGCGTATGTGCCAGTCGCCCTTTCGATCGATCAGAGACCTTGCAGACCAGACGAGAAAGCGCGACTACTCGCGGCCGGGGCTCGCGTCGATGCCTGGGAAGGCGTGGGTGAAGGCGAAGAACGAGTCTGGCTACCTGAAGCTCGCACGCCAGGACTTGCAGTTTCTAGGACTTTCGGAGATTTGCTGGTCAAAGACTACGGAGTGACATGCGTGCCCGAAGTTTATTCGATGGAATTGAGTGCAGATGACAGGTTTTTGATCATGGCCAGTGATGGGGTTTTTGAGTTTATCTCTAACCAGGAAGTTGTGAACCTCGTTGGGAAGTGTCGAGATCGCGCAACTGCACAGGAGGCAGCTGAAGAGGTTGTCAAATTGGCATGGCAGCGGTGGATCGACGACGACTCAGTGATTGATGATATATCTTGCGTTGTAGTTTACATGGATGTGCTTGCACCAGAAGTTTCTGGGCCAAGAGATCCCATATTATTGGATGCCACTTGTGGAGTACAAGAAAGAGTGAATGATGTTGGACATTCCCGCAGTGCAAGAACTCTAAATTCGAGTCGGAGCTGGCCGAATGGACTCGAACTCATCACGCGATCCTCAGCGGAAGTTTCATTGCACAAAGAACTGAAAAAGTCATGCAGCCTAGACATAGACGTCGATGCAACGGTGCGTGCTGGTGATGGTCTGTTTGGGACTGATCATGAAGGCGAACATACAAATGATTCGGCGAAGGATGAAAATAGATCGACTGAAGGTCAAGGCACCCCAGAGCACGAGGCAGATGATGAGGAATTTAGAGAGTATCGTACATAATATTCGAAGGCACTTACAGTTGATGCATGCATGCTCTTGCAAAGATGCAGGTGAAGTGCCGTCTTTTGGAAATCAGCCACGACTCACAGGGTGGGTGTATTATTTGACTTGAAACGTTTAACTATGCTTGTCGCTCCATTTCGCATGAGGGCCAACGCAAGTCCTGCGTTTTCTCCGTTCGAACGCGGGCGATATTTTCTGGCTTCGTTTTACAAGATACAAACTTTTTATGAAAATAAAAGATGTAACAGCAGAACCTGAATGCGGAATCGATTTTGTTGATACAGGCGTGGAACTGTACATGCTGTCAATGCTTTTTGTCTACACATGATGCAACAGCGCAGCGGTGATTGGCATGGGCATCCCGATAAATGACTTGTCACAAATTGTATCTAGACGTCTATGTGGAGAGCAATGTACCCGTATGTGCAGAGAAATAGTACCCTTCGAAGGGTAGCACTTGGATTATTTCTCTGTGGACCGGTGCTGGTGACTTGCACCAGTCGCTGCCTGTAGCAATACGACGTGCACGTAAGGTGCGCATGTAAAGTTTATCTGTCGTGGCAGAGCAAGGGGGACCCGGAGCAAGGTTGGGCAGTGTGGGAAGGAATGAGGTGGGCAGTCGCACGTTGTGATGAATGACCGGCCCTGAGGCTGGAAACTAACAGAAACGGCTTTGTCACATTGGCCTTTCCATGTACAGTATGGAGGTTCACACACTGTGGTTCCATCCAGAGACAAGCAAGTAAGGCACACGTAGAATAAGGCACAGCATTACAGCACCTCACTCACTTGAACAATAAAGTCACCGCCGTCCCCCGCTCCCGAGAGGATCGGGGGTATCGGTGTTCCTGGAACCACACACACCAACCAACGATGCCCCGAGCCCTCTCTCTCTTGGAGAGAAGAGGTTGTGTTTTATGATACTGTACGTGTAGCCCCCCAGGGGTTCATGAAGGGTCATTTTGCATGAACGATTTCTTACGCCAAACTCAGCAGTTGGACACTTGTAAAGTATTGGCGGTACACATGCTGTACTTTTCGTTGGTCGCGAACATCCCATGGACAAGCGTACAGTAGATCAAATGAAGGTAAATTGTCTACTGTAGACGCACTGTAGAAATCATCTACACGTGTATGTATCCAAAAGCAACCAGACTTGGAGATATGGAGATACAGTGCCTCCTACGATATAGTGCTATAGCGTGACATACCTCTAGCTATGGCACTATTGGGGGGATGGCACTATATAAAGGAGGCTCAAATACATATATTTGGGGACAAAGCACACTGCTAACACAAACACAACAAAGCCTGTATAACACAACTAAATAACTTCATCCTTTGAGTACTGAACCATGCCGGATGATACACATGTGTGCTTATGATAACCTGTGCCAGAGGGTGAGCCATAGCACTATATAGAGGGAAGCACTACTAAAGTAGGCACTATTGAGCGACCCCCCCCCTGTATGGAGATATGGATATATGGATTCAACTAAATTGTATCGCCTGCTTTCCTCGCAAGCCTACTTCCGCGCAAGCCTACTTGCGAAAACCCACAGACTCCTCCTTTCATTCTTCCTACCCCGTGTAAACTTTACCTCGACGCTCACGTAGTCGGTGCAATGGAATGGGCCAAAACAAATGCTCCCTACTTGCTCCTAACTTGAACAGTTCCTTCCCTAACTTCTACCGCGTCTCGCGGCATGTCGTCGTCCAACAGCCTCATCCTCAATCGGCGTTTTCCCGCTTCCTGAAGGCCATTTCCAGATTGAAGGCCTCGCAGCAGCAGCTTCCCTTCCCTCCCTCGTCCCATGTGAACCGTTTGTCAGAGTTGTCGCTCCCCTCCCGCTTCTCCTAGTCTCCACCACCGTGTCCGTTGTTGCCGCTCTCAACATTCTCCAGCCACCAATTCTCTGCGGTGGCGCTTCTTCCTCCTCATCGTTTGAATCGCTATCGTTCTCCCTGTTTCCGAAAAACATTCGCAGAAATCCTCCACGCTCTGGAGGGCGCCCCTCTTCCTGACTCCGCTTTTGCACTTCCTTTTGATTCAACCTGGATGTGCTCCGAAACCGATTTGCCACATCATTCGCTTCCTCATCTTCTGAGCTGGGCAGATAAGAAACCTTACGTCGCGTTTTCGACCGCTCCTTCGCGTCAGCCTTTGATTTGTTCGAGGACGAGACTACGCCCCGGTTGCGGCGGCGAGGGAATCTTCGCGGAAGTTGCGTGTATGCGGAAGGCAGGGATCTCCATAGCTCAGAAGTTAACTGCTGAAGGCCTTGGAAGGTGGATAAATGCGTCTTTCGTTTCGTTGCCGCGTAAATGAATCGGAATATCGCATTCTCGTTGAGTTGCTTATTGCTCAGTCTGTTGTACCTTTCGTACAGGATGAAAGAGAAAATTGTCCCGTATACCAGATAGTTCACTGGATACATATTTGGCGTACTATCGGTAAACACTTTTCTCCAGGCAAAAAGAAAGTAATGAATACCAACTGAAAGCGTCGCAGTAAACTGTGAAATATTTCTCGTCTCCATTGTGTATATGGCCTGTAGACCAAGCATCACGATATGCCAACTGAAGTAAATAGAAAGTGCCAAGTTGCCAACTATGAAGAGACGCTCAAATCGCCTAAACAGCACTTTCATTGGATCATCTCCCAGAAACAAGGTTACTATCAAGTTCAACAAGCACATGACGACAAAGTAACAGTTGCCGAGAATGATGTAGTGAGAGACCGTCAACTTGCTCGAAGAGTCGAATACCCGCCGAACAAAAGATATTAAAGTCAGCAAGGGGACAAGCATGACACAGTAAAACAAAATCCCACTCAAAAAGGGTGACTGAGATATATTGACGTGCGTGTATTTGTCGATCTCCGCCCCGACATGATCAACTAATCGATTGTTTGTGTCGGCAGCGATTAACAAATAATCGAAGAAAGGGGTCACTGCAGCGGCCGACTTTCGTAAGGCGCCTGCCATTGCGTCTGGTAGACCCCTTGCGTGACGCTCAATCAAATCTTCCATGCTGAGATGTTGGATCTTTTCGAGGATGACTTCTTTCGACGATGATAATTCCTCGGATACTCGATGAAGGCGGTTCAAAGTTTCTTGCATTTCTCTCTGTTTCCTTACAAGTTCGTTATATTTGGAGACTGTTCGCGGCGCCTCTCGTCTGTACATTTCAATTTCTCTGGCCTTGTCTTCTAGCTCAACCTGACTCAGTTTGACTTGCCCATCCTGCATTGTGCGTTGCCCTTTCTTGAGTTGGAGCGTTTTTTCCAAAAATACTCTTTCATGCGCGATATCCTTCGCTTCCTGCTTTAACCGTCCGAGTTTGACATTGTGTTGAGATATTTTCGCTCTCAGAAATGAAACGGAAGTTACGCCTTCTGCTTCCTCTCTGCTATCAATGTCATCATCGCCATCCGAAAGGGGGCGTCTTGATGATGAAGAAAGTGTGATATCTCGGGACTCAGGTATCCATGGGCGTCGTTCTTGGGCGGGATCATACCCAGAGATGCCTTTTTTTATGTACTTTCCGAAATACCCCCAGAACAGCGGTGGGGCTGGTGGACTTGTGCCTTGCCGATGCGCATGTGCTTGCCGTACCGAAAGGTGATGAAAAAATAAGACGACGAGAATAGTTGATACGCTTCGTTTGCATGAGATGTATTTTGTTAAACGAGAAAGGTTCTTCATGTGCGGTCCGTAAATTTGGTCCGCTATCTCTGAAAGGTTATGTTCGAAAACGAATGACAGGAGCTGCGTTGGAAGGTTTTCTGCGAAGTTCTCCAACCGATTAGAAGCTATGATAATTGTTGAGAATGCATTTGTAGACGGATGTGCTTTCCCGTGGCCTCACCGCAAACAGATTCCCTTCAGAAGGAGTTCGGCCAATGCAATTGTGAATACGCAGTCGCTGAGGGGCCTTTTGAAATGAGTAGAGAAAACTACGAGGGAGATGAATAAGAAAAGTTTGGAAGTAGCGAGCGTGGAGGAAGGGGGGGGATTTTGGATATATCTGCGTACAGTGGATCACCCTGAGAAAATGACACGGAGAAACTGTGATTTCTGAATGGCGGCCGTTTAGAATGACTAAAAGAAATGTCATTTTCTCTTAATGTCGGCAAGTTCAGTTTGATGAATAGAGTTGCCTACAGCTACGCGTATATTATTTCTGAAGTTTTGCAAAAAGCAGACTTTTGGAAAAAAGAGGAATGGGTTCGGTATGCTCAATGTTTTTTTGGAGTCGTGGTGGGACGTTCTGGATTTGTTCCTTGCGTGAGGCAAATCCTGATATGAGCATCGACAAACTGGTTCGAATTTTGATCAGTCGCAGTTGTAATTTGGCAAACGTAGGATGTTCGGCCCGAAATCACGCCAATTGCAATGGAGATTTCTTTAGAGATGTCGGAGACCTTCAAGTTGAAATGTGCTTAAAGAGTCTCTACTAGCTAGAGAGTAGAGAGCCTTCAACAGTAAATAACTTGCCCGTGAGCGGGAAAGCATCACACAACGGCCTAATCTTGTCTGCATACTGTACTGTATGAGGCAAAACGCAGGGAAAGTCATTGCTTGCCTACACGTAAATCGCGTGTCACATTAGACAAATAGAATTCCCCCCCCCCCCCCCCCCCCCCGATCTGGGGCCTGTTTGGTAGAGTCGAAGTCACTGTAATATTGCAGTCAATTTCGTTAATTAACGATGTGTGAATGGTTAAGTCTGGATTGCTTATAGAAAGGAGACCAATCAAGTACATTGCAAAGCAAATTTTCTCAAGTTTTAGAAATGTTTTTTCCAACCTTGCTAGTCTGGTATCGCTTCGATGAGGCTGGGCGCACCCTTCGTTCTCTGACATCAGCCTGATTGGCATCCTATGATGCATTCAAGGTCTCCAGCCTACCCACAGGGGAACGAGTTACCGTCAATGTGGTCATCCTCCCCTTTCCACCCCTTCCCGTCCCTGTCCCATCTTTGAAAGCGATCGCTGCTGGTATCCCCACCATGGCCTTCAGCAACATGCTAACAACCTTTCGGGGCTATGTTTTCGCTTCCATGCTGCTGACGGTTGCCGTCATTGGGCATGCCTTGTACCTTAAACACTTCTTCTACCGCTCCGTCATCTACCTGTCCAAATCGAAAATTGCCGTACTCGCAGTCGGAAATATGGCGCTTGCGTCCGCCCTTCTGTTATGGCGCGTACTTCAGGCTGTCTTCCTTGGACCGCTTCGCTTCCGTGAAGTTGAACGCCTTCACATCCGTGCTCGCGATGCCGTCATTGAGTGCTGCTTTGCTATTTCCGTATTTCGCGAAGACTTGGATGCCAGATTTGTCGCCTTTTTCATGACTCTGCTCTTGCTTAAGAGTCTACATTGGCTCAGCAAGGACCGCATTGAATTTCTAGAGGAACAACCCCTCACTCCAGTGCGTACGCACCTTAGACTTGTTGGCTTGATGTCGGCCTTGCTCGTACTCGACATTTTCTTGGTTCAACGCTTCGCTACTATCACCCTCACTACCGAAGGAGCTACTATGTACGTGCTTTTTGCGTTTGAATACACCATTATTGTGATCGAGCTGCTGTCCGACATCGTCAAATACGTCTTCCTTGTAATCGACAGATCTATGGAAGGCCACTGGGAGGAGAAAAACATGTATTCGTTTTACATAGAACTGCTGTCTGATCTATGTCAGCTCACTGTGTACGTTTTGTTTTTCATATACGTCCAGTACTTCTATTCTATGCCATTCCATATTATTCGGGAGGTTTGGGTGACCTTCTCAAAGTTCAGGCGGCGCTGCTCGGATTTCTTGCGTTACCGTCGCGTTGTTGCAACTATGAATGATCTCTTTGCAGACGCCACCGAGGAGGAGCTCGTTGAGGGAGACCGCACTTGCATCATATGTCGAGAAGAAATGCAGACTGCGAAGAAGCTTGCCTGCGGTCACCTGTTTCATGCTCGATGCTTGCAGAATTGGCTCAAACGCCAGCTATCGTGCCCGACATGTCGCGCAGTCATTGATGTCAATGGCCCTGGCAGCCAGTCTCCACAGGCTCAGAATCCAAATATGAACAATCCTTTGAACGCATTGCACATTAACAACCCTAACAATATCAACAATGGCTTCAACTTTCGTGCAAACGCGAATATGAACAACAATGGAGCTGTGCCCTTAAATCAGGCTGCCAACGTCGGTGATGCCGGTGCACGCCTCGTCAATCTCGCAAACCAATGGTTAAACCAAGTCATGGTAGATGCACGGGCAGGGGGTGGTCCTGGTGCAAACGCAGGTTTTCTGCAAGGTCTTGGTGTGGATGTGGGTGGAGTTGCGGGGGCGGGTGGAGCTGTGGGTGAAGCGGCGGGCGGAGCGGCGGGCGGAGCTGCGGGTGGAGCTGCGGGTGGAGCTGCGGGTGGAGCTGCGGGTGGAGCTGCGGGTCTGGGTCCGGGGGCGGGTGGAACTGCGGGTGCGAGTGAAGCTGCGGGTGGAGCTGCAAGTGGAGCTGCGGGTGGAGCTGCGGGTGGAGCTGCGAGTGGAGCTGCGGGTGCGGGTCCAAGTGCGGGTGCCAATGCCGGTGCGGGGGCCAATGCCGGTGCGGGTGCCAATGCCGGTGCGGGTGCCAGTGCTGATGCGGATGGCGGTGCTGGCCCCAGTACGAGGACGGAGGCTAGTGCGGGTGCGGCTACGAGTGCTGGGATGGAGCTGGGTGGAAACGGAGCGAGTGGTGCTGGCGCCGGGTCCGCCAGTCCTGACGCGGGTCCAGTTGCGGGTGCCGAAGGAGTGGGGTCAGATGGGTGCGAGGACGAAAGCCAAATAGCCAGAGGGCTCGCAAGCACCGAACGGTCTGGCGCTCAGGGAGCAAGCGGAGACGTAGCGCATCAAGGGCTTGGGGGAACGAACGCGCAAGGCGCAGTCGACCAGGGTAATATGGTGCAAAATGGCCCTCACCTCAACGGCGCCCCTCCGAACATATTTCTGCGGGGACGGAATGCGATTGCTCACATGCAGTTCCGAGAAAGGCGCCGAGGTGCCTGGCCGCCCCCGTACCAACCCTATCAAATGCCCCATCTGGCAAACTATGCACACCAAGCTGGCCATAATTATCAAGGCATTAATCCATATATCCCCACAGACGCTCAGCTGATGGCGTGGAGCGAGCAAGCTCGCCTGAATAATCTTGCACTCAATCCGGCACATGGTACAAATGCTCCGGGACATGTACCGTCCCAAAGTGCTGGCGAATCGTCAGATGGTTCGCAAGGGCATCGTGCGGGTGAAGCACAGGCGTCATCTGAAGGTCGAACGAGTCGTGCGCCTGGCTCAGGAGAGCAGAATTCCAGCACAGGCTCCCAAACAGTAGAAGCCGGGGCCGCACCAGAGTCACAGTTGCACGATGGGCTTGATGTCGGGGGCTCGAGATCCGTGGAGGTGTCCCGCTCCGATGACCTGACAGAAGCCCCGCAACGAGGACCAGTGAATCCTACTACACAACCGGAAACAGATCAAGGAGATGTGGGTCCGCTGCAGGTAACAAACGCACACGCGGTAGAAGCTTCTAGTCGTTCTATCCCTCTTGACAGACTACTGGCTATCCAAGAACAGATTGAGGTCCTACGATGTGAAGTGATGGATCTAATTTTGATCGCAACTAATGATTCTCCACCAGCGACAGAGGATGGCAATATCGAGGCTACGACCAATGTACAAACTGAGAGGCCTTTGGATACCAGGGATAGCATTACAGAACGCGAGGCGGGATCAAGTACCAACGCGGCAGCAGGAAGAAGCATGGACCATAGTGGATCGGAATATCGTCATGTCGACATAGATCGGCGTGGCAACGCCTGATTCCTCGCATATATTTGAATGGGGGAAAAAGCTGGCGAGCCAAGCCTTTCTTTCGCCGACTAACTATAAAAGCTGACTATTGAGATTAGTCCGGCGATTGCATCACTTCACACGAGTCGATATTGCTGCTGCGTCAATCAGACTGTAGATGGGATACATGCCAGCCTAGCTAGTTTCAAAACGGGACGTAACTTTATTTATCAAGTGCCCACATTCCGAAATCCCATTAGGACTCATGCGTCCGAACATGGAAACTGGTTCAGGAAACAAACCTGCATGCGCAAAAGTTGCCTTTCCTCAAACCGGAAATGTGTCCTCTTTTGATGTCCCTCTTGAACTCAAATTGCTCGTAAGAATTCATCGTTCTATATTTGCGAAATGGTCTTTCGATTCAAATTGAATAGAGGATTTGAAATCAAAGAGAGTGGCGATGTCGTCAAAACAAACTGCTGAAACCAGCACGCGATCGCGGCGCCGTGCAGCGTGCCGGCAGGCAGAATGCTATCGGACAAATGTCCGAAACGGACAGAGTTGGATGTTCTGGCGGTCTTCAAGCTGCCGGAGCCGCTAACGAAGACTGTGCAGTGTCGCTATTTCTTCTGGCGATAGTGCGGATACTTCTTAAGTCTTACTATTCCAAAGCCGGTCTTGTACGGTGGGCCGTCGCGTCTTCAGTCATCTCAAACGCGTCAAGCCAAGCTATGAACAAGGCCCCCACACATTCCAACTAGGATGCACCTCTCATGAGAGCTGAGCTTTCCAGAAACTGATGACGTCCTGCCAGCCCTCGACAAGGAGAGCGGCCGTACGAAGCCTGTAAAGTGGGCTACGCAGACAAAAATTTGCTGAGTTGTGTAGATGCAGATGGCCGAAGCATGGTGAAGGCGCCATAGGAAAGGCCAGAAACAAGAAACCATTCTGGAACTCCGCTCCTTGTCTCAATCCCATAAAGGCTATGATACGTGGAGACTCCTTGACTACAATGCGCTCAATGAGGTCAAATTCTTGGCAGTTCATCGTGAGCGCCTGTACTCCATAGTAACTGCAGCTCTAGTTTTTTGCCCTCAGCAGCAAGACACCTTACAAGGACGAAGCATGACAGTGTCAAAATAAGGCAAATGCTTCTTCCTTCTGAGAAGATGCGTCCTGTATATGAAGATAAGCACAGTAAGATGTCCACCTATTGGCTGCCATATGATGGCAAAGACCAGTGGAAAGCTGGTGATCTGAAGTGTCTCGTGCTTATGGCTTTTGCTGGGAATGCATACCAGCATTCACAAGCACACACTGCCTGAATTCCACATCCAAGAATAACTCCTTGGACGTTTCGCAATGTGCGTAGCCTAGAATGAGCAAGCCTGTGTGACTGTCCGCTGCTTCAAATCCGGAGCTCTTACGAGTCCTGACAGTCAAAAGACAATGCATTCATTCTCCCTCTAGTCCCTCTCCACGCAAGAGGGGTTGTAAAGAGTCTAATGCTCCTCGTTGATGCCCTCGCTCACGTTTTGAGAGCGAGACCTCACGATCAATTCTAGTAGACGCCTGTGATCTTCTTGATCCTTGGCATCTTTGCGGCGTCGTTCTTCCCTTTCAGTTGTCTTTTCCTCGATCTCCCGTGCACGTCTCTCTTCTTCCATCTGACGACGCCTAGCTTCGCACTCTTTCTCCCACTGAAAGCGACGTTCTTCCACTTCGAGAAGCTTCTCACTGAATGTGCAAAGGTCATCAAGTCGCCGCTCACTGAATGCGCAAAAGTCATCAAGTCGCCGCTCAACATTTGTAACTCGATCGAGGAGATGTGTAAAATCGCCTTTCAGACCGTCATTTCTCGGCGCAATATCATGGCTCCGGTCCAGAGGAGTTACCTGCCCCTCCCGTACGCGAGGTGAAGTCGTCACCTGACGAATAGGATTTACCTCAAGAGCTGCTGTGGCAATTGCATGGGGATTGCCAAGAGCACAAGACCCTCGATTCGGTTGCCTTAAAATAGGAAGGCGATTGGGATAGGGGGACAAATCACCGCCAGGAGGGCTTCTGCGATCCACACTCTGTGACTGCAAAGGATTGACCTGGGGGGGAGAGGGCGGGTTGCCAAACAAAGGCTGAGTGAAAGTAGAACTTATTGCTGCCCTGCCTTGATTGGTTTTGAAATGCTTTTCCGAGGAAACCTGATGAGAACCGTATTGAATTGTCTGCGGATCAGCATCTGATCGTCCTTGAGACATAGAATGATGATCTCGCTTTTGGACTATCGGCGGCAACTGCGGACTGGGGCCGGATGCGTAGTTGTTCAACTTGTTAGCTCTGTGGTCAAGTACCCCTGTCATGACATTTAATGAAGGGTGCGGTTCGGACGGGTTGTCCTGGTGAGGACCAGGCAGTTGACATGCGGCAGCTCCTAGCTGATTGCGTTGACGCATTTGCTCACGCGATCTCCAGTCGTTGTCACGAGGCCTGGTCGCTTGTTCGATTCGGGATATTTGCTCGAGGAGAGTTTCCTTTTCGGCCTGATCCTCCTGATTCCCAGATCCGCTTCGTCGCAAGAGAGACAAGTCTTTATCTCTCCATTGTTCCAGCAAAAGACCAGTTCGATCTCTAGCACGGCGAAAGTCAATTTCGATACTTGACGAACGAAGGGTATTGGCTATAGCCTGCCATTTCTGGAGCCTACTTCCATGAGCGGCAGCGTACGGATTCTCAGCGTGTACGAGCTTCAGCAATTCGATATCTGCTCTGACAGAAAAACGAAACTGGCGCTTCCTCAAAGTCGTGGGCGGTGGGTTGTTGGAGCTAGGACCAGGGGGAGGCTGCATTGTCGAATACATCAGGCCAGAGCTGACATTTTGAGTAGGACTCAGATTGGACGAGGAACTGATGTTTGGGCGATATCCTGGTGCGGCAACGTTTGGAGAGGTTGTATTTTCTTGCAGCCTCCAGGAACCACTGCCAGGAGGCTGAGAAGTCATCTTCCATGGGAGGCGTGTGGGTGGAATGACGATGACACTTGAGTGCCGATGACCGCTCCCCAGACTAGTTGCATATGTTCTCTCCAGCGTGGATTATCAAGGAGGAAACTTGGTACTCGAAATCTGCGTAAGTGTGCTTGTCCGGCGAGCTGGTATGTGGATAGTATTGTGAGGAGTTTAAACTGGAATGAGTCTTAGCATTTCTCCATAAAAAGCGACGAAGGACCCAGTTCCAGTACCCAGTTATAAACTTTGGTAGCCTTCTTCTGGGTTCTTCACGTGTAACTGGCGGTACAAAGAGCAAACAGTCTGAAAAAGATGAAACAGAAGCCTCGAAAATTTCAGCGAAGCCGGGATGTAGACGGAGGGCCTTTTTGAGAGGTTATCAAACGCAAAGCGTAGGAGGTAGGGCCCTGCGCGAGAGAGAGCAGGACAAGAACAGAAACAAGGATTAGAAGCACTCGGTAAGGGAGGTGCTTGCTTGCTACACTCTGTCACGGGTCAGTGAAGCAGAACTCAGTGTGTGAGGCGCCTGAGGACTGCTGAGCGAGCTTTGGGAGAGGTACTCAATGAACGAAGCCAGTAGTGAAAGGGCCAGGCTGCGTAAAAGGCGTGCGAGGAAGTGCACAACGTTGATGAGGAAATGGCAGAGACGAGAGGCTTGCGGCGCGGGACAGGGGCAGGGGGTGCCGGGGTGAGGGTGAGAGGGGGGGGGGGGGGGGAATTAAAGATTCGGAGGGGGCGGGAATATGAGAATATTGAACAGGGGGGGGAGATTTAAGGGAAGAAA